TGTCTCCATTATCGCCGATAGAACTTTTTCCCTCTGCCAAACTTGATCTTTGGTAGCTGTAACCTCAGTCTTAGCGTCGAATGCCCAAGGTTTTGATTGCCGCGTTGGGCTGGCAACAGTTCCGTGTTGGTGTCTCGAAGGAGACCCGGTAGAAACCGTAGAGCGTGACAGAGGTTTAAGGGTAGCTTTTCTGACCGTCACATCTGGTAAACTCACCTCTAACGACCTCCAATGTCTATCGGCAAGATCCTCCAGTCGCTTAAAGTTCTCAGCTCCCCTTTTAACGTCTGCAAGCCGTCTGGACTTCCTCAGCGGGTTATCCATGCTAAATTTTGGCGCAGCAAACGCCGGAATGAAGTTTAACTCCAAACTGTTCGCTGTCATTGTTGCATAGTCACGACCAACACTGGTGTATATTATCCCTGAATTACCACAATTACATGTGCTACCTCATGTAGACTGAACTTTGATTGTACTTCAATTTTACCAGCGCACCTCAACCATCGTAATGACCTCATAAACTTCACTCAGTCTGAGTTTTAGCCCGCGATTTATATCCTCAATGAGATATATTTGCTAAGGAAAGATCCTCCTGTTTACTCGAAGTCTGAAGAAGTCACTAAACTAACCGTCCTTATCATCTAGATCCGGGACATCAGGGCAACGACGCTTAGTAACACTCATCCTTCAGTTGAAAAAAAAAAAACAACCTTATTTACCAGCGTGTGACGTTTAGTCTTAGTTCGTGGTATCGATCATAAGCTTAGAGTGTGTAGTGTATCACCCTGGTTCTGGATTTATGTTGAAAGGTCGATGCGCTTTGGGGGAGAGGGTAAAAGTAAAAAGCAAATTTCAGTTCTCGTCGAAGAAATACACATTTAGAAAAAAGTCAAAGGAGATCATTTTCACATTTAGACTAGCATATATCTTTGATTCTTTTTTTACTGTAATTTTGCCTTTACAGATTGGGATTAGTTTTAATTTCACTTTGATTAAACTGTCCTAACTGTTTCCCAGCATTAAAATGATGGCGTGGATAGAAACCAAGTAGCAAAGCTCCAATTTAGCGTAAAGGCATAATGTCTTCACAACATAGGGGCAAAATACCAGGACAAAAGTTTTGGGTCGCATTACAAAAGAGAGGGTTGTTTTGTCAAAACAGCCTCTGTGCTGTGTAAGTTACGAGAACGATTTGAGAAAGAAGAAAAGGTTATAGGAGAATCGAGATGAAATAATATAAATTTTATCTTTATTCATAACGCTTGATTTGTGTATGCGACCAAAGTAAACTTCTCTTGGTTGGTTAACAAAATAAAGCCCATGACCCGACCGAACCCCCAAATGTTTATCTTTTCATTTAGAATTTTAATACGTAATGTTGCCCTTAACTATGGCACAATGTGTCTAACGTAGTTTCTTCATTAGATCTTTATTGGTAATTGTAATCAAATTTAATAAGTTTGCCGTAGGAGCTATTTGGATATATAGTGTTTTGTACGCCAGCCCACCCGTAGGTTTAGAGTTGATATAATCATACTTAAATTAATTTTCACTGAAATATTGAAAAAAAGACTTGACACAAGACTGACGAAGAACACTTGAAACACAGCCTTGAAAGGAATTGAACAATAAATTCACATTTAAGATTCTATCGTGATTAAGATTATAACCATGCATTTAAGCAATGGTTTATAACATGTCATTCAAGTCTGTACGTGTTGTTTCAGTGTCTACAAGATCCCCGTTATTTTGCGGAGTTCATGTAAAGGACCGTTCAATTTTGTTGACGACCATCAAACTATCCAGTTTCAAGCTAGAAATGTCTTTTAATGTACGTTTTTACCATTTTTCTCCAACTCTGCCCAAGGAATTTTGTCTTTTCAATTCGGACAAAAATGTCATTTTATAAGCAGGGGGAGCAATTTCACTAATTTTACGAATTTTAAATATACCAAATTCGAGCCGAAAAGCCCCTTCAACTAGGAGGATGACAGTTGTCGCATGGAGAGTTATCAAAACAGAATAACATTTTATTTCTCTGTCGTTATTTTAAAGTATAAATAAATAAATAAATAAATAAATAAATAAATAAATAAATAAATAAATAAACACACGCACGATGATCTTGAGGCTCTTTTGAAGGTTGCTCTTTCCGACTTGAACTACGTATGTATATATCTAAATGTTGAATTAGGTTAATGCATAATATATTTGGTGGAATAAAAATGCTGATCTGTGTGGAGCGGCATTTTCTAATGTAAACATATTAAATCAAAAATGGTACCACTCAGTAGAAAATTAGGTATGCTATATAAAATAAAATAATTGCTACAGTCACCAATCATGGACTTGGTATGAAGCTGTGGTATAGAGGAGTTTTTTCTCGGTTAATAAACACACTAAATTACATATATTAAATAGTTTCAATAGTTTCGTACACAACAGCGTATCGCTAACTCGATTGCATTTGTTGTACTTCTTAGCGCAACTGGTACATTCGCCTTTGTTCTCTCTGTTGATAACGAGCACATGTTGTATAACAAAAAAATGTTGTCCTCCGCACAAAAATCATGGTTTCACCTTGAGCTTTAGTCTTTTCTCAAATTGATTAGCCGGCAGCATAGAACAGCATTAAAGAAACTAGGACTGTAATTTGACTGAGAACCCAGCGAATAGGCGTGGAAATTACACTTTCTCTCACAATGGACATAGGAATGAAAATTACCCTCCCTCGAGGCCCATCGCTCTCACCAGAGAACTGAATAATTTCACATTAAAAGCTATTGTAAAATAAACTTTCTAGTTTTAACTGAATTACCATCCACCTGATACCTGTGTTAGATTCCTCTAGGGAGCGGACAGCGTGTTTTTGTTCTAAATGAATGCAATGACAATAGCACCAAATATTTCCCCAGTGGTGAGCGGCTCGAATGACAGCTTGTTTTCAGGTTTTCGACGTGAATTGTCCTGGTTCACTTGGAGCTAAAATTTGTATTGCAATTAGTGTCCAGGCTTCTAGTTCTGCGGGGAGGGATTTAATGAACACTCTGAAGGAACAGCGTTTTCACCTTTCCCCAGCTCTAATGACCTTTCATCTGCTTTTTAACAGCGTTTGATAAGTGCTTATTAAAGAACTACTTATTAAGAGTTAGAAAAAGAACACGCTGAGCATACCTTCTAGTTATATAGCTCTGAATATATTGATAAGAAGGGTTGGTTTTTGCAAAAGAATTTTTTGCAACATGATTCAGTAGACAAAATCAAACATTTAGAAAGATATAAATAAGACTTAAACCACAGTATGTTGGTAGAAGGTTGACAAAATACGCAGCTACCTATAGGTCCTAGTTTGATAGTAACAGGAACGATTATGGAACAAAAATTTAGATGAAAGAAAAGGACAGTGATTATTGTTTAACTTGAGACTTGTGTCAATTTGTTAACGTATTGTCAATGAATGGCATTTCATCACAGGGATAGCATTGCCCCTTTCTGTTTATTTGTTTATATACAGAATACCTGGCCACATTTGTTGAAAACCCATTAGACCGTCTCCAGTTGCTGTCACACGCGAGACAATAACCTCACCGCCGCCGCCGCCGCTGTGTGTGGGTTGCTGTAAAACGAGTCCTCAAGGTGTAGTGACGAAGTTGAGAAAAATGCCCGAGTAGTGACACACATTAATTAGAAACTATTGTCAGGGAAGGAAGGGGGCATGGGGGTATGGTGGTGAATAAGATAGGTGTGAAGGGCCCTTTTTACCGGAGGCGAGCAAGCATGAGAGGGGGGGGGGAGGTGGAGAGAGAGAGAGCGAAAGATATATAGAGAGGCATTATTCACATGTAGTTAACACGAAGTTCATCTGCAGTGGTATCATTTAGTTGGAATGTACAACTGCACATTCAGAGAATGAGAAAATTCGATCCGCTTACAATAAGGAATATAGATATGATTAGGGATTAAAATTGCATTGGCAAACAAGCTTGGTCGCGGTATAATTGATGGCCTTCCCTGCAAGTTTCAGCTTCTTACATCTTGATAAAGGATATCCAATAATGATGTCAATAATAACCAGCCCTGTGTCCAGTGGCTAATGACCAGTGTTCTTATTAATTATTCACATGGACGTTTGAATCGCGGAAAATCAGAAACACGCATGCTCTCTTATATATCACATTCGAAAATATTTTATTGGTCTTTCATATTGTGTATCATTATTCATACATGTATGGGGAGGGGGGCTATAATCAACGTCAACAAAATTGTGTGATCTAATGCCAATGCGTGTGTGTTTTTTTTTCATGTAAAGGAATATTGTAAATTATAAATATATTTGCCCTTTGATAATCACAAAAATACTTTAAGCATTTCATTATAATACTTAAAGAATCATTGCATGACACAAACTGCATCTTCGAGAATTTGCCAACGTCTTGATCATGACACAAAAATAAACAATTCTTACGACACATCCATTCAAAATATATATCATAAGGAATTTACATCACCTCAAACGAGTTTGCCAAGGACGACATAACGTTAAAAAAACTAGGAAAACACATTGCGGTTGCAGAAGATTCATACCATTCCTCCATTGACTGTTTTTTTTTCTCCTTCCTTTTTTAGCGATGCTGGGAACACAGTGACTATACCCGCAGCTGTTTGCTGCACAGAACAAGAAAAAGTTAATTTTTTTTAGAATCTGATACACGGTAGACTCGCAGAGAAGGTTAATTAGTTGTTGCTGAACCCGGACAGAAAGAAATGAACGTAGGGCTTCATGTAAACGCATGTTGGACTATCCACTGTTTAATATAACTACGGCACGCAGCGGTTTTCCTCCTATTTTCAACCACGATAAACTGTCTGTTTGCCTTAAATGTTTTATAATTTGATTATTCTTAATTGCAAAGCTGAAAGTTGACAGTCACAATGATTACAAGAGAGCGCAGATGCGACGTCACAGCGCTTACAAATTAAACACAGATAAAATCGCAATACTGACAAAGTTCCACATAAATCAACGCAAGCTCGCCACAACAGCCATCGCCGCTAACCAGAATTTAGACGACTGTCAATCTCGACACGGTCAACGTTGCATATATGGATGCTCGTTTCACTCGCTAGAGGGCAGCAAAATCGTCGGTGTTGTGTTACTATTGGCAGACCTGTCTGTACATTAGCATTGAAGGGGGGTTTCTCAGTGGTTATTGAATTATTCGCTCAAGCTGGTTCGAAGCATGACACACGTGAAACTGCGATCAGGAATATTGTAAATAGACAGGATCTATGAGAGACTACTGTAGAACGAAGAAATCATGAACTGGGCTCAGTTAAGGAGGGAGATTTTACTACTGGTGTTAAGTGCTGCGTCTTCGTGGTCGATCGGTAAGTGCAATGCTTTTTCTACCCTGTACTTAAAGCTGATTATCAGTAGAGATGAATCGGATCCTGCGATGTGATAAAACAGCTGCTATTAGGCGCATACCTGCTAAGGTGTTACCCAAACCAACTCAGTGTGTAATTTATTGAAGATTTCAACGCCTTAAATTTTCATTATCAACGGTGTGCCAGCCACTTACCCATTTTAATGCCACTAATCTTGATACATGGAATTGACAGGATCAGTAGCATGTTCGAGGCAAATACCACTCGTGTGCCGTTTACATTGTATTCTGTTTCAATTACTACATACACTAAGTAAATTGAAACTTCTGATTAACGCGCCGTGCTGGAGGCTCTCGGAAGAATTAAGATGGATGTGGAGGGGACCTTAGTTGGATAAATGTCGATTGCTATGTTCACAAAAAGAGAGAAAAGAGGAAATGGAAAACACCAGCCGGCCACTATCTTTCCCGGAGTGTGTTTATATGTGTGTACCTGTATTGGGGAGAATAGAACCCGACCTTAATGGTTAAGGCGGCGATTACATAACTGGCCCACAGTGGAAGTATCTAAACTCCTTCGTAATGCTACCTAATTGTTTAGGTGGAGGCATTTGAGATGGCGTTGAACCGAGTGGAAATCACTATGATTCCCGAGCCTCGTATCTGTCTACTATACAGTGGCTGGAGGGATAATGTAGGGACCCATCTGCTTGGATTTTCATTAGTTTCCGCAGCTGTAACCCGCGGGGTTCGCTGTACTCCGTGGTCCCCGTGGTATTAACATGATCAGGCAGCCGTGTCAGTGTTTTACGATGCAACTACACTGGACCTCGTCTCATTCATTTTTGTAACGCATCGCTTCCCTGTTGTCGTGGTGTCTTAAGATTCCCTGATGCCTTTGGGCGACTAGGGGTGTTTGTGTCACTCCAGTTCGTAATGCTTTAACACATGTCCAAGGTCTGCTTGAAAACGTTAAAAAGAATCTTTTCATTCAGCAGACACAGGGGTAGCCCGCCTGGAAATCTAATCTAATGTCTACTTATTCACCTTTCCCCAAGCTACAAGAGCTGATCCAAACGAGAAATGCGCGTTGGGAGTTTTATTGACAACCTTTCTTGTGGAATAATAACTTAATTTGTTCCTTGTCAAAAAGCAACAGACAAACGCTCCTGTGCTTTACTTGGTTGTTTGCAATTGAAGAAATTCCTCACAGCTCACTCATGTCCGACAGTCAAGCTGACTGTTAACTGATCTGCCGGTGGAAAGCCTCGCATAGTTCAGTCGATTACTCCGTTGTTCAATATCGCTCCCCTCTCTCTCTTAGCAGCACTACACGGCCACGTCCCATGGTAATACGTCTTCATGTTAACTTTAATTTCTATGGTAATCAAAGGGAAAGGGGTCCTCAGGTATTGTATTGTATTGTATGCTCAGCGTTCAGCGGACTTGGGCTTAATACACCTAGCTAGACCGCCCTGAAAATGTATTCAGTGGGGAAATTTTGCTACGGAAACGTGTGGTTTTCTTCACTGCCTTCACGCTTTACACATAGATAGATGGACACCTGAAGGAATAAATAGACGGGCTTTATACCTTGATAATGACAGTAGGATCAGTTTTCGGTTTTCTTTATTGTACTGTCACTAGAAAATATCTATTTCACGCAGGCATTGCATACCAGTCTTTATTTGCTTTGTACGGGGTTAAAAACTGACTCAATTACGCTATTTTATTACAACTGTTTGTATTTTATGTAGTTTTTTTGCATTCAGAAATACAATTAAGGGCGGATAGAAATATCATATAAGTTAAATGGTGTAGCTTCCATCGTAACAATAATTTTGTCTACGTTGCACATATCCGTCAACAAATCATAAAAACTCAGCCTCTCAAGGGTGCCAAAACATGCATTCGTTGTCATTACATGCGTCCCCGATTCGATAACGGTAAAAAAGGTTTAATCCTCTTCGATCATCGCGACAAGCCACCTTTGACTCGTCTTGGTGTACATTATGAATTTGATCCATACTTGGGATGTTAATAAAGAGTGAACAGACGAGGTAGAGATGCTTCACTGCGCGTGCGTTTTAGCCGTTAAACACCTTGTCCCGCATAGAAATCTATAATCTCATGCAATAAACCGCATTGTGGACTGTATCAGTCCTCATCTTGGAATTAAATGGGTTTTTTTTCAGCGGCCCAGAGGAACACTGTAATGAGGAGGGTGATCTTGATGTGTTTTTTATTAAACCTTTTTTGCACGAGCTTTCATTGCCGACCTTGTAGAGTATGAACAGGGAAACAAGTTGAGTGACAGGAGTGATTTGGTGAGGAAAAGACGAAGATCGACATTTTAATTTTCTACTTCAGTAACCTAGTATTTTTAGTTAACCTGACTTGAGACTACTCTAACTTGGCTCTTACGGCTAGTTTGTAGCCTATATTTTGAGGAAAGGCATTGTATTTCTCTCTGTATATTCATCATATTGTACGTTGAGGAATTCTAGGTGCAACGTAGTTTCAGAAATCTTTATATAGATTAAGGAATTACAATACTGTCTGAGTAATTATGAATTACATGCTTGTGAAATACCAGTTTCAGCATTCTTACTAGGGCAGTGCTGGACGATCAATTTTTGTTTGCTCCCCATGCTGAACTAAAAGTTTACAGCTGCACCGTGCCTAGTTACATGTATGGGTAGCACGGGAAATGAGTAAACCAGCAGCCGTCTCTACATTGGAGGGGAAATGCATTGTCCATCTCTCCATGTCCGAGCGTCCACTCACATGAGAATACATCTGTTGATTGGTATCCCACAGTGGGCAATATTGGGTAGATTGTCAGCGGGAATTTTACATTGAAAACTGAGCGTTTGTTCTAATGTTTACTAGCATAAAAAAGTGCCCTGGTAATAGACCCCATGATGGGTACTAGATCAGCATCATTCATCGGGTTCTGGGCGACTCTATGTTATGTTACAGACAATTTGCAGCGAGGTGGAAGAACAATTCGTAGGAAAACACCGGTCGTAATTTGCTTACTGACTCCAGTTTATTTTCTCTTGCAAAAGATAACATTCAAGCTCAAAAACTACAATCGGATCAATACAAACAACGGCGAGTAAGGAAAACCGAAATCCTTTTCAATATTTGAAAGAGTAAGCGATCGGGAAAATATTCCGCACGATGGTGTGCTGTAACAAAAATAAACGCCGATTTAAGATGGAAATACATTTGGGGTTGAATTTACAACACAAACGTAACGATTTCAATACACTGACTCTAGGGTCGGGAGGACCGCTATTTCTAATGCAAAGCTTTGACAGACTTTGAAAATCTTTCCCTTTGATTTTAACCTCTGAATGTTGTGGGTGGCCACGAGGCCAAATTCTGTAGCCAAAACTTCAACCTGCGCCGACGGTGGCTCGGTAACATAATAACACGTTCTGTTGTGAGAAGTGCATTGTTCACAATCAACCAAGTAAATACAGCTATTAGGAACCTTGCTACTGAACAAAAAAGTGAACAAAGTTTAGCAAACAATGTATTTGGACAATTTACTGATAGACTAACTGGTTTTCAGTATTGTCGTATTGTAATATCACCATTATTAATGGTTGTAGTACTGAATGGTCCAACGAAAATCTTTCTTCGAGCTTTTGGTTTGTGAATATCAAATACTACTTTGGTAGAAATCTCAAGCTTTTGCATGTCCGAAAGATATCTCGATGGAAATGTAATTTTGTTAGACTCAGCAAACCACCAAGGCTCTGTGGAAAATGTAATTGACGGACAGGGAGGGAGACGCGAAACAAATTCTGACAGTAACATTCTAGAAATGTTTGCCGCCCTGCTTATCAAAGAAGATAAAAAGCTCCTATGTCAATCGATATCTTACACAAATTACTATTTCAGCTACATTTGGAGTTGATAGCCAGAAAAGTTACTTCGCGTCACACGTAGTAATTTTCATGTTGGTGAAGTTCACAATTTTACCAGCACTTTTAGATGTGCTTTAGTATAAACAGTCAAAAATTAAACGTCCATATGAATACTCTTTAGAAGTAATGCTTACTGACCCTTCACACAAAAGGACCAAGATATGTCAAACAAAGTTTTATTAATGCTGAAAATTGAAAAAAGTTGGAGAATTACATTTCCACTTTTTAGGTCGAGGCTTAAATTCACCAGGCTATATTTCCAAACCAAGTGTTTCTTAATAACTTCTTCCATGTCGAAGTTTTCACAGTCAAGTGCTAAAGAAATTAATTTCGAGGGTGATTTCTTCCATCGCCGTGTGACCTTTTCCAGCTCTGATTGGATACGTGTCCAGAATTATATACCTCTTGGAGAGGTCTTATCGCTTTTCAAGGAACTTTTTGTCCTTCCTGGAATGTGGCTTGATCGCAGGTGTGGCGAGAACCACCCGCCCTTATCGGGGAATTGAGATAAGAGAAGTTCAACACGAGAATGTGCTTTATGCAGTTCGAATGCTTTCGGAATTGGACATCACTCTTTTTCCTCTCCAGTTATACAGGGATCATGGGAATCAAGTAGCACCGAACCTTTATAAAGAGGCACCGTTTGATTTGATTTTGCTTCTTAAATAATGTTCTCCTCGTGAATTGTGAATTGTTTAAGCTGCATAGAAATCCACACGTTTATCTTGTTAAGAGGCAAAAGAGACTAAACCCTAAAAATAATGTAACATTAAGAGGATAACACAAACTACTTATGGCGGAGAGCTGGGTGGTATGAGTGCATACATTACGTTGAATGTCCTCTGATGTTGAATTTGGCAAAGACCAGAAGCCCAGAAGCAGCCCTAATAGACCTATTAAGCTCATTAAATCATCCAACCTAGGATGGCTCAGACCTTTGATTTAACTCACGGGACCTGGAAATTTTTTTCGGGGAAAAATAGAGTATGTCTCATTGTTTTGTAAAATCTGTAAATAAGCTTCAGCATAGAAGAAAATGCCAACGTGTATAGAGCGGTTC